TGGTGACTGTGGTGGTGGTGGTTACTGTGGTGGTGGTTACTGTGGTGGTGGTGGTTACTGCGGTGGTGGTTACTGTGGTGGTGGTTACTGTGGTGGTGGTGGTTACTGTGGTGGTGGTTACTGTGGTGGTGGTTACTGTGGTGGTGGTGGTTACTGTGGTGGTGGTGGTGGTTACTGTGGTGGTGGTTACTGTGGTGGTGGTGGTTACTGGTGGTGGTTACTGTGGTGGTGGTGGTTACTGTGGTGGGTGGTTACGTTACTGTGGTGGTGGTTACTGTGGTGGTGGTGGTTACTGTGGTTGTGGTGGTTACTGTGGTGGTGGTTACTGTGGTGGTGGGGGTTACTGTGGTGGTGGTGGTTAGTGTGGTGGTTGTGGTTACTGTGGTTGTGGTTACTGTGGTGGTGGTTACTGTGGTTGTGGTTACTGTGGTGGTGGTTACTGTAGTGGTGGTGGTTACTGTGGTGGTGGTTACTGTGGTTGTGGTTACTGTGGTGGTAGTTACTGTGGTGGTGGTGGTGGTGGTTACTGTGGTGGTAGTTACTGTGGTGGTGGTGGTGGTTACTGTGGTGGTGGTTACTGTGGTGGTGGTTACTGTGGTGGTGGTTACTGTGGTTGTGGTTACTGTGGTGGTTACTGTGGTGGTGGTGGTTACTGTGGTGGCGGTTACTGTGGTGGTGGTGGTTATTGTGGTGGTGGTTACTGTGGTGGTTACTGTGGTGGTAGTTACTGTGGTGGTGGTGGTTAGTGTGGTGGTGGTGGTTACTGTGGTGGTGGTGGTTACTGTGGTGGTGGTGGTTACTGTGGTGGTGGTGACTGTGGTGGTGGTGGTTACTGTGGTGGTGGTTACTGTGGTGGTGGTGACTGTGGTGGTTACTGTGGTGGTGGTTACTGTAGTGGTGGTGGTTACTGTGGTGGTGGTGGTTATTGTGGTGGTTACTGTGGTGGTGGTGGTTACTGTGGTGGTGGTTACTGTGGTGGTGGTGACTGTGGTGGTGGTGGTACCTGTGGTGGTTGTGTTTACTTGTGGTGGTGGTTAATGTGGTGGTGGTGGTTACTGTGGTGGTGGTTTACTGTGGTGTGGTGGTTACTGTGGTTGGTGGTGGTTACTGTGGTGGCTGGTTTACTGTGGTGGTGTTACCGTTGGTGGTGGTTTAACCTTGGTGGTGGTTAGTCCCTATGGTGGTGGTTACTGTGTTGGTGGCTACTTGGTGGGTGGTTACTGTTTTGTGGTGGTGGTTACTGTTGTGTTGGTGGTGGGTAGTTGTTGTGGTGGTGGTTAGTTGTGGTGTGTGGTTACTGTTAGTGGTGCGTGGTTACTGTAGTGGTGGTGGTTACTGTGTGTGGTGGTTACTGTGGTGGTGGTTACGTGTGGTGGTGGTGGTTACTCGGTGGTGGTGGTGGTGGTTACTGTGGTGTTGGTTACTGTAGTGGTGGTGGTTACTGTGGTGGTGGTGGTGGTTACTGTGGTGCTTACTGTGGTGGTGATGGTGGTTACTGTGGTGGTGGTGGTTACTGTGGTGGTGGTGGTTACTGTGGTGGTGGTTACTGTGGTGGTGGTTACTGTGGTTGTGGTTACTGTGGTGGTGGTGGTTACTGTGGTGGTGGTTACTGTGGTGGTGGTTACTGTGGTGGTGGTTACTGTGGTGGTGGTGGTTACTGTGGTGGTGGTGGTGGTTAGTGTGGTGGTTGTGGTTAGTGTGGTGGTTGTGGTTACTGTGGTGGTGGTTACTGTGGTGGTGGTGGTTACTGTGGTGGTTGTGGTTACTGTGGTTGTGGTTACTGTGGTGGTAGTTACTGTGGTGGTGGTTACTGTGGTTGTGGTTACTGTGGTGGTGGTTACTGTGGTGGTGGTTACTGTGGTTGTGGTTACTGTGGTGGTAGTTACTGTGGTGGTGGTTACTGTGGTTGTGGTTACTGTGGTGGTGGTTACTGTGGTGGTGGTTACTGTGGTGGTGGTTACTGTGGTGGTGGTTACTGTGGTGGTGGTGGTTACTGTGGTGGTGGTTATTGTGGTGGTGGTTACTGTGGTGGTGGTGGTTACTGTGGTGGTGGTTACTGTGGTGGTAGTTAGTGTGGTGGTGGTGGTTACTGTAGTGGTGGTGGTTACTGTGGTGGTGGTGGTTACTGTAGTGGTGGTGGTTACTGTGGTGGTGGTGGTTACTGTGGTGGTGGTTACTGTGGTGGTGGTGGTTACTGTGGTGGTGGTTACTGTGGTGGTGGTGGTTACTGTAGTGGTGGTGGTGGTTACTGTGGTGGTGGTGGTTACTGTGGTAGTGGTGGTTACTGTGGTGGTGGTGGTTACTGTGGTGGTGGTTACTGTAGTGGTTGTGGTTACTGTGGTGGTGGTTACTGTGGTGGTGGTTACTGTGGTGGTGGTGGTTACTGTGGTGGTGGTTACTGTAGTGGTGGTGGTTACTGTGTTGGTGGTGGCTACTGTGTTGGTGGTTACTGTGGTGGTGGTGGTTACTGTGGTGGTGGTTACTGTGGTGGTGGTTACTGTGGTGGTGGTTACTGTGGTGGTGGTGGTTATTGTGGTGGTGGTGGTTACTGTAGTGGTGGTGGTGGTTACTGTGGTGGTGGTTACTGTGGTGGTGGTTACTGTGGTGGTGGTTATTGTGGTGGTGGTGGTTACTGTGGTGGTGGTGGTTACTGTAGTGGTGGTGGTGGTTACTGTGGTGGTGGTGGTTACTGTGGTGGTGGTTACTGTGGTGGTGGTGGTTACCGTGGTGGTGGTGGTTACTGTGGTGGTGGTGGTTACTGTGTTGGTGGTGGTGGTTAGTGTGGTGGTGGTTACTGTGTTGGTGGTGTTGGTTACTGTGGTGGTGGTTACTGTGTTGGTGGTGGTGGTTACTGTGGTGGTGGTGGTGGTGGTGGTTAGTGTGGTGGTGGTTACTGTGGTGGTGGTGGTTACTGTAGTGGTGGTGGTTACTGTAGTGGTGGTGGTTACTGTGGTGGTGGTTACTGTAGTGGTGGTGGTGGTTACTGTGGTGGTGGTTAGTGTGGTGGTGGTGGTTATTCTGGTGGTGGTGGTTAGTGTGGTGGTGGTTACTGTGGTGGTGGTGGTTACTGTAGTGGTGGTGGTGGTTACTGTGGTGGTCGTTACTGTGGTGGTGGTTACTGTGGTGGTGGTGGTTAGTGTGGTGGTTACTGTGGTGGTGGTGGTTACTGTGGTGGTGGTGGTTACTGTGGTGGTGGTTACTGTAGTGGTGGTGGTTACTGTGGTGGTGGTGGTTACTGTGGTGGTGGTTACTGTAGTGGTGGTGGTTACTGTGGTGGTGGTGGTTACTGTGGTGGTGGTGGTTACTGTGGTGGTGGTGGTTACTGTGGTGGTGGTGGTTACTGTAGTGGTGGTGGTGGTTACTGTGGTGGTGGTGGTTACTGTGGTGGTGGTGGTTACTGTGGTGGTGGTGGTTACTGTGGTGGTGGTGGTTACTGTAGTGGTGGTGGTGGATACTGTGGTGGTGGTGGTTACTGTAGTGGTGGTGGTTACTGTGGTGGTGGTGGTTAGTGTGGTGGTGGTTACTGTGGTGGTGGCTACTCTGGTGGTGGTGGTTAGTGTGGTGGTTACTGTGGTGGTGGTTACTGTGGTGGTGGTTACTGTGGTGGTGGTGGTTACTGTGGTGGTGGTGGTTATTGTAGTGGTGGTGGTTATTGTGGTGGTGGTTAGTGTGGTGGTGGTTACTGTGGTGGTGGTTACTGTGGTGGTGGCGGTTAGTGTGGTGGTGGTGGTTACTGTGGTGGTGGTTACTGTGGTGGTGGTGGTTACTGTAGTGGTGGTGGTGGCGGCGGCACCTGTCTGTGCTGGACTTGGTGTCGGCGATCTTGTTGAGGCTGGCGATGCGGAAGCCGAACGCGTTCCCTCGCTGCCCTTTGTTCATGAAGTTGCCGAACGCGAGGACGACCTCCAGGAGCTGGCGCAGACTCTCGCAGCTCAGCGCCTCGCGCGACGCCTCCAACACCGCTACCCAGACACACAGAGACAACGACAAAGAGACCCCCCCCCCCCTCAGTGTAGCTTTTACACGCTCCAGGGGAAAGCGCTGCTCTTAGCGCCGGGCGCCATCGAAGTCCAGCACGGCACGCGAGGGGGTGAATTGCAGGCAGCTCACGCTCCGCACAGCCAAGCACGCATCCTCACGTTCACTCACTCACTCACTTGTTCACCCACCCACCCACCTACTCACATCTTCACTCACTCACAGACTCACTCACTCGTTCACTCACCCACCCACTCACATCTTCACTCACTCAGACTCACTACAAGTTCACTCACTCGTTCACTCACCCACCCACCCACGTCTTCACTCACTCAGGGTGAGGAGAGCAAGGAGGTTTGGAGGAGGGTGAGGAGAACGGTGGGCGAGGAGGTGGGTGAGGAAGGTGAGAAGGGTGGGTGAGTTGGGTGAAGAGGGTGGGTGAGTTGGGTGAAGAGGGTGGGTGAGTTGGGTGAAGAGGGTGGGTGAGGGAGGTGGGTGAGGGAGGCGAGAAAGGTGGGTGAGGAGGGTGAAGAGCGTGGGTGAGGAGAGTGGGTCAGAGGATGGGTGAGGAGGGTGAGGAGGGTGGTGAGGAAGGTGGGTGAGGAAGGTGAAGAGGGTGGGTGAGGAAGGTGAAGAGGGTGGGTGAGGGAGGTGATGGTGAGGAGAGTAGGTCAGAGGGTGGGTAAGGAGGGTGGTGAGGAAGGTGGGCGACTACCTTCCACCTTGGGCTTGCACTCCTCCACGCGCTCCGCAAACTTCTTCTTGAAGTAGAGCGCCTGCAGCCGCTGCTGGTAGTGGGGGATTCTGGGGGGGGGGGGGGGGGGGTGTCAACTCTCACCGTGCCAGTGGAGCGGTGTGATGTGCGTTGTGTGGCGTTGTGTGGCATGGTGTGAGTGGGGTGGTGTGTGTGGTGTGCATGGTTTGTGTGTTGTGGTGTGCGTGGGGTGCTTTGCGTGTTGTGCATGGTGCGAGTGGTGTAGAAAGAGTGGTATGGTGTGCTTGGTGTAGTTGACGTGGTGTGAGTGGCGTGAGTGGGGTGTGTGGTGTAGTTTCTGTGGTGTACTTGGTCTGCGTGGTGTGGTGGGACCCGCACCGGCTCATGTCGAACAGGAAGCGGTCTGCGCGCGCCATGCGCTCCGTCTCGTTCTTGTGCTCCTCCAGCAGGTCCACGTCGCTCTTCTCCGGCACGAATTTCAGCAGCTAGGGGCAGATATGGGTGACCCGGTGACCCCACAACCCCATGATCCTGCTACCCTAGTGAGTCAGACTTCCACACCTGACCACGAGGTAAAGGGGTGCACATGTATGTGTCGAGCATCCATTTTGACCGTGTAGTTTGTGAAGCCTTCGAAGGCTGTACCAGAGGAATTTCCATCTGGTACAGATATAATGGGTGGCTAATCAATGCCGGGGTGCGGTCAAGGGATGGCTCCCTATTGGTCAACCATGTTATGTATGCTGATGATCTGGTGATTGCTGATCACTTAGAGGATGAATTGGAGGCACTGCTACCGAACCTGGAGTGTGCCACGAAGAGGTGGGGACTTACCATCATCCCCACCAGAACGAAGCACCTGCCTGGGTATTTTGTACCATCGGACACTCCACCCCCACAACTCACAATTTGTGATGGGGCAATTGTGGAGAAAGTGGAGAGTTTTCCATACTTGGGCAGTGTGCTCATAACCGGCTCCGGTTTGACAGCAGAGGTCTCACTCCGAATCAGTCCAGCGGCATCTGTTCATCGGCTGTGTAATGCTATGCAGAAGCTATCTGGTCTGTTGCTCCACATGAAGCTTTGGGTCTTCTTGGCCATGGTAATCCCCTCCCTTTTCTATGCTAGCAAAACGTGGACTCCCTGAATGGAACATCTTCTCCAGTTAGAAACATTTAGGCTGGCCTGCCTATGATCCATCCTGGGTTTAACAAGGCTGGATTGTGTGAGGAGCTCACAAATCCTTGAAAGTTCTGGACAAAGTCCCATCGGTGAACTCCTCCGGCAGGCAAGGCTGCGTTGGCTGGGTCATGTAGCCCGCACACCCAGCCCACGCATTCCTAAACAGTGTTTGTTTGGCCAGATAGAGGGGGCTAAATGGGTGAAGCACGGGCTAGAGAAGAGATGGAGTGATGTGGTACAGGAGGACGTGGAGCTGAGTGGAATTGCCGATGACTGGTACCAGCGGTGTCAAGATCGGCCTCTGTGGCCATTTGGAGGCAGTCGCCCTCCAGCAACAACGGAGGGCAGAGGAGTGACGCTCACAACAACGAGCGGAGCGCTGGGTGGCTAAAAGCAGCAAGTTGGCACAGTAGGGTGTTACAGCTGGTGGTGCATCTACCGGTCATCTCAGTCAGCCAACCCGTGGCACCTGGGTCTGTGCAGAGACCTCCTGTGAGCGAGCCTTCGACACTTCACGTGACTTCAAAGTGCACCTGACCTGGCACAGACGCCGTGGCGACGTCACTGTCATCTCGTGGCGAATGGCGGTTGTATTGGTATTGGTGTGAGAGTGAGAGAGTGAGTGAGGGAGTGAGAGCCCCACCTGCTCCAGCATGTCTTTGGGGAGGTCTTCGTGCTCGTCCATCTGCATGACCGCGCGCTTGATCTCCTCGTTGGTCAACTTCAACCTGAGGTGAACGTGGCATCAACAACATCAACGACATCAGCAACGTCAACAATATCACCACTACCACCAACAATCAAATCAACACCACCAACACGACCGGTAACATCAACACCACCAACACCACCGGTAACATCAACACCACCAACACCACCGGTGACATCAACACCACCAGTAACATCAACACCACCATCACCACCAGTAACATCAACACCACCATCACCACCAACACCACCAACACCACCAGTAGCATCAACACCACCAGTAACATCAACACCACCATCACCACCAGTAACATCAACACTACCATCACCACCAGTAACATCAACACCACCATCACCACCAACACCACCAACACCACCATCACCACCATCACCACCAACACTACCAACACCACCAGTAGCATCAACACCACCATCACCACCAACACTACCAACACCACCAGTAGCATCAACACCACCGCCATCGGTAGCAAGGCCCCAGGCGACCTCCCCCCCCACGCACTTGGAAAGGAGGATGACGCAGTTCTGGGCCCTGCGACCGTCAATGACGCTCAGCTCCTTGGCCTTCCGGCTCGCGTTCAAGATGTCCTCTGTCGAGCCCACGTTATCCCTCTGGTGGGGGGAGGGGGGGTCACAGCTCAACCTCTGCGGTGACAGAGGCGATGGTGGTGATGATGACGTTGCTTGTGGTTCAGACGATAGTGGGGATGGTAATGTCGATGATGACGTTGATGATGACAGTGGCGTTCATGTTGACGGTTGCTGATTATGATCCCGGTAGCTGATAGGATGGTTACGATGATGATGATGATGGTCCTGGTTGGTGACGAAGACAACAATGAAAACGATGATGGTGGTGCTCGTGCTCGAGATGCCGATCGTGGTCAAACAACGTGCGTGAGCGTCACGGGTGCAGGGAGGCTTTAATCCAGCAGCGGAGTGACGCAGACTCTGCGTTAGCGAGTACAGTCGCTCATCGATTATATTGATCCAGCAGCGGAGTGACGCAGACTCGGCGTTCGCGAGTAGTCGCTCATCGATTATATTGTCCGGGGGCTTCGGGGAGGAGGGGTCGCTGGATTTTCAAAAACGCCGGATAATCAATCATCATCATCATGATTTAAAATAGATTATTTTTGCACACTGTCGCACGACATTATGTTTGTAGGCGTTGTGTACATGTTTTTCTAGTGTTTTAAATTAGTTTACACTGAAATTGGCATGAACATACAAACTGACAAAACTAAAATTCCTATTTTAAAAAGTTACTTTATTTACTGTACCATACTTACGACTCCAATCTCGATGGTTCTGCATGGGGCGATGTATTTCCATCCAGTATTTTGATTGTTTAAGTTGAATGTAGTGTATAATGTACCATATTTAGCACTGAAATCAAGCCTTGCTACTTTTTTTGTCACGTACACTGTGCTGATGGCCGGACTGATTATAGCCTTTGGAGCGGTTTTGCCGGCTTCGCCAGATCAGCCCGGGACCTCTGGGTAATGTTGGATAATCGATGATCAACTTGTACGCTCATATTGATGAAAACGGCGGTGATGGTGGTGAAATGATGGTGGCGATGATGATTGTGACGACATTGGCGAGTGTGCACCTGAGGCTTCTGGTAGGCCGAGAAGGTCTTCTCCAGGTCCTCCAGATCCAGGACCTTGAAGACTTTGAGGTCGTCGATCTCGTTCCACACCGTGTCGCCGAGCTTATTCTGCGGCCCGGAGGGATTCACATCTCGGAGGCGTTCATTCACGAACTCGTCACCAATCAACCAATCACGAATCGACATATCACCAGGCCATCGTTTCCCTGCACCTACAGCTGACCTCTGATGACCCCTGCCACCCCCCCACCCCACAACCCCGCGTAACCCCGCAACCCCCTCACCTCGGGCAGCTTGGTCCAGTTGAAGGACTTGAGGGGTTGCGACGGCTGTGGGAGGTTCTTCCTCTTGGTGGTGCCCTGGCCGCTCATCCCCGGCAGGGGAGGAGCCCCGGGTGGGCCCCCCGGGGGAGGGGGAGGCGGGGGGGGAGGGGGTGGCCCCCCGCCGGGGGGCGGTGGTGGCCCCGCGGGGCCCCCCAGGGCGGAAGAGGCGAGGGAGCCGTCCTGCCCGGGACTGCCGGGGGCCAGGCCACCGGGAACCGCTCCCTGCGGGCACACGGGCCGCACGCACGGGTTTATCATCACGGCCTCCACGGGGGGGGGGGGGGGGGTCACAATACCTTCAATCACCCCGCCCACCCCACGCCCCCACCTCTGACCCCCCTCCCCTCCCCCCCACCCCCATTCATCCCTACAGGTTAACGAGGTCAGGGTCCCAGGGATCAGATCGGGGTCCCTGCGCCTGGCCAGATTCCCTAGTCCAGGTTCAGGGTATTGTGTTGTGTTACGGTCCTTGATGTCATTGCAGGATTTCTGAGGCTCGGGTCCCAGTCAGGATTACTTATGGTCAAGGATAGTGTTGCTCAAGGTTAGGGTTACTAGGGGTCAGGGTTGTTAAGGGTCAAGGTTAGGGTTACTAGGGGTCAGGGTTGTTAAGGGTCAAGGTTAGGGTTACTAGGGGTCAGGGTTGTTAAAGGTCAAGGTTAGGGTTACTAGGGGTCAGGGTTGTTAAGGGTCAAGGTTAGGGTTACTAGGGGTCAGGGTTGTTAAGGGTCAAGGTTAGGGTTACTAGGGATCAGGGTTGTTAAGGGTCAAGGTTAGGGTTACTAGGGGTCAGGGTTGTTAAGGGTCAAGGTTAGGGTTACTAGGGGTCAGGGTTGTTAAGGGTCAAGGTTAGGGTTACTAGGGGTCAGGGTTGTTAAGGGTCAAGGTTAGGGTTACTAGGGGTCAGGGTTGTTAAGGGTCAAGGTTAGGGTTACTAGGGGTCAGGGTTGTTAAGGGTCAAGGTTAGGGTTTCTCGGGGTCAGGGTTGCTCAGGGTCAGCCTTACTCGGGGTCAACATTATGATTGTTTGGGGGGTCAGGGTTCAGGGTTGCCGGGGGGTCAGGAGGTCACCGTGCGGGCCAGCTGTGCGGCGAGCGCGGCGGCCTGCTCACGGGCGCGGCCCAGCTCCAGGCTCTCGCGCTCGAGGCGCTCCTTCATGCGGCCCAGCAGCCCCTCCAGCTCCTCCTTCTCCTGCGTCTTGGCGTCGCACTCACGCTCCTTGCGCTCCAGGCGGCCCTGCACCTCCCCGTGCTCTACCCGTGGTGGGGTCGCGGGGTCACGGGGTCACGTCGATCACAGGGGTCACAAGACGGCGTCACGACGCGTGGGGGTTACGACGTGTGGGGATCAAACGGGCCTTAGTAAATACGGGGTCACGTGGGGTCACGTGGGGTCACGTGGGGTCACGTGGGGTCAAATACGATCGGAGGTCACGGGCCCCTCACTCCGCTACCCACGTCCCCCCTCCTCACCTTTCCTCATCTTCTCCGCTTGCTCTTTCCACTGTTTCACTTCGCCTTCATTCACCAACCTGGGAGAACAGCGGACGTGCGGTGAGGAGTGCGGGGAGATCGGTGAGGAGAGCGGAGGTTTGCATGCGATGTGTGATGCTGTTCTGGGTGTGGTGTGTGCGGCGCGGTTTGCTCTGCATTGTGTTGTCTGTTGTGCTGTATGCTGCGCAGTGTGCTTATCTTATCTTAAAATAATTTATATAATGCCTTATCCAAGGCACATTACACAGAATTAATAATAGTACATATTAATGTAATGGTGGAGATGAGGTTAATTAAATAGATGAGAGGAAGCAATGGGAAAATCTGTGATGCGTGAAATCAGTGAACGTGTGCCGTGCTGCGCGATGTGCTGTGTGGTGGTGTACGCTGTGTTGTGTGGTGTACTGCGTGGTGTGCTGTGCAGTGCTGTGCACTGTGCTGTGCGCTGTACAGTATGCTGCGTGCTGTGCACCACGTGGTGTGCTGTGCACCACGTGGTGTGCTGTGCGATGTTCTGCGCTGCGAGGCAGTCCCCACATGCGCACGATGTTCTTGACGTTGAAGTTGTCGAGGGGCGCGATGTCCGGGTCCTCCCCACGTGGGCCCTGCAGCACCATCTGCTGCACCAGGCGGTCGAGCAGCTGCCAGTGCTGCACCGTAGTGCCCACCTTCTTGTCTGCACCACCACCACCATCATCATCAACATCACCGGTACCATCATCACCACCACCGTCGTCGTCATCATCATAATCATCAATAACATCACCACCACCATCATCAACATCATCGGTACCATCATCATCACCACCACCACCGTCGTCGTCGTCGTCGTCGTCGTCGTCGTCGTCGTCATCATCATCATCAATAATAATATCACCACCACTAGCATCAACATCACCATCACCGGCAACATAATCGACATCACCATCACTATCCCTGGCACCATCTTCACCACCAGCAGCACTGTCGTCATCAATAACATCACCACCACCATCATCAACATCACCGGTACCATCATCATCATCATCACCACCACCACCATCTTCATCATCAACATCACCTCCACCACCATCAACATCACCGGCACCATCATTGTCACCATCGTCGTCATCTCGAGCCATCGTTCGTCAGCCTCGCGCGACGCCTGCCCCACTCACAGGGCATCTGCAGGCAGTGGAAGAGGATGGACATGAGGTGGGGGTACGCGTCCGTGAAGCTCAGTTTCTTCCGGATCGCCTCGAACATCTGCCCCGCACTCCGCGTGTCGATGTGCGTCTGAGACACGGGGAGGTGGGGGGCAGCGGGGGGGGGGGGGGGGGGGCGTGTTAGATTGAAGCCCGGGCTCCACGCTGGGGCACGCTGCTCGAGGCCGGTGGGGGGAGGGGGCAGTGAGCGCCGGTCCTCACCGTCTCGAACCTCCGCGCGATCTCCGCCTCGTCCTCGTTCCGCGACATCTCGAAGAAGTCCAAGTGCCTGCGTGGGCGCACGCAGACGCACGGACACACACGCTTACAAAGATCCCCCGTGTAGCCTGCACAGACTGTTGGGGCAAGTGCTGTTCGCGAGCACCTATGAAGGCCGGCACGGCACATGACGGGGTGGGTGGCCAGCACCACGCTCGGCCACCTTTCTCTCCCTAGAGGCAATGTTTACACACCGCACAGTACTCATTTGAGGCTGACTCGACCTAGGGGAGGCCCGTGACTGATTCAGATAATTGTCACTGGTGTTGGCCGTGAGCGGGAATCGAACTCGGGTTGCCGGGTTCATAGCTCAGTGCGTTAACCACTGACTATCGCTCCCCAAGTCAAAGACAAAGATCCCCCGTATAGCCTCTTTAATAGACTGTTAGGTCAAGTGCTGTTCGCGAGCACCTATGAAGGCCGGCACGACACGCGAGGGGGTGGGTGGCCAGCACCACGCCCAGCCACCTTTCTCTCCCTAGAGGCGAAGTTTACACACTGCACCACGTACTCATTTAAGGTTGAGTCGACCTAGGAGAGGACCATGACCAATTCAGATAATCGTCACTGGTGTTGGCCGTGAACGGTTATTGAACTCGGGTCGCCGGGTTCGTAGCGCAGCGTAGCGCTAACCACTACCGCTCCCCATACACACACATGGACAGACAGACACAGACTCATGCAAAGGGGGCTGAACGTCGATGTGCACACATCGCTCACCCGGCCAGAGACACCCGGCACCCGGCCGCCGTTTCTCTCTGGGATTCCGGTTGGAACTGGAGAGAGCTGGGAGGCGGCAGGCGACCAGCAGCCACAGCAAGAATCATACTGGATGCGGTGTGCCGTGTGTACGGTGGGCCTGGGGCTGGAGGCGGGTGGGGGAGGGGTCACCTGTCGAGAGTGGTGTTCTCGAGCTCGCGCAGCGCGTCGATGAGCGGCTGCAGGCCCAGCATGAGGAGCTCATAGCGCAGGTGCAGCCGGAACTCCAGCTTCTCCTGGCTCGCACAGCGGGGGTCGCGGTGGGGTCACGGTGGGGTCACGGTGGGGTCACGGAGTTATGGGGTCAAGTTCACGTGTCACAGGGTCAGGGTAGTGGGTTTAGAGTTGACGTTCTGCTTGGTGCGAGGGTTGGAGTGAGGGAGGGATGGGGGGGGGCCCACCTTCCCGGGCCCCGCGTTGAGCACGGCGTTGAAGAAGGACATGATGGCCGTCTTGAGGCCGAGCTCCTGGCGGTAACGTCCCGTGTTGCGTGCGAGGTCACTCATCAGCGTCTGCGGGAGAGTGAGGAGAGTCGTGCACCACAAGAGCCTCGCTGATTTTGCGAAGACTTTGGTCATCGAGTTGCAGCAAAATTATATGAAACACAAAACGCCTTCCGTAAGTAATACGATGATGATGACAATGACAATGACGGTGAGTGGTGCCCATCACAGAGGAGCCGCGAGTCGACTTAAGAGAGCCGGAGGACACGTCGCGAGACGGGAGGAAAGGGACACGGGAAGAAGAATGGTGACGAAGGTGGAAGCACCGAGAGTGCCGGTGACGGCGCCGGTGACGACGGTGGCAGTCATGATGACGGTGACAATGCCGGCAAGGACTGTGACGGCGACGTGGTGTGCGGCGTCGAGCGTGGCGTCACCTGGAAGCGCGTGCGCTCGCTGGCGAACTGCTGGAAGTTGACCATGGCCTGCAGCACCTTGCGGTGGCCTCCCGGCACGAGGCAGAGCGCGCCCAGGATCTCGAGCGCGGCCACCTTGGTGCGCGGCGCGTCCACGGCGAGGCTGCGCGCGATGGCGTCCACGGCGCTGGGGTGGGCCAGGACGTGCGCGCGGCCCTGCGCGTTGTTCATCAGCGCCTTGACGCAGCCGATGGCGGCGGCGTGCGCGGGCCCCGACGCCGTGTCCTCGTCCATGCGCTCCAGGAAGTGCAGCAGCGCCGACAAGCCGTCCAGCTCCATGAAGCGCGTCACGAAGCTGCGCGTGTGTGCGCGTGCGTGTACGTGCGTGTGAGCCCATGCGTGTGTGTGTGTACGTGTGTGCGCGTGCGTGCGTGTACGTGTGTACGTGCGTGCGAGCCCATGCGTGTGTGTGTGTACGTGTGTATGTGTGTGTGTACGTGTGTGTACGTGTGTGCGCGTGCGTGCGTGTACGTGCGTGTGAGCCCATGCGTGTGTGTGTGTGTACGTGTGTATGTGTGTGTGTACGTGTGTGCGCGTGCGTGCGTGTACGTGCGTGTGAGCCCATGCGTGTGTGTACGTGTGTATGTGTGTGTGTACGTGTGTGCGCGTGCGTGCGTGTACGTGCGTGTGAGCCCATGCGTGTGTGTATGTGTGTGTATGTGTGTGTACGTGTGCGTACGGAGCAGTGCGGGGGTGCAGAAGCGCAGTGGTTAGCCCCCTGGTGACGCAAGTTCGACCGATAATGGTGGCGAATATATTTGAACTGGTCTTGAACCTCCCCGAGGTCGACTGGGCCTTAAATTAGCACCTGGCAGGGTGTAAGGTGCCAGGGTGTGATGTGTAAACAAAGATGTGATGCGAGACAAAGGCGGCAGGGTGTGGTGCTGGCGACCCACCCCCTCGTGTGTCGTGCCGGCCTTAACAGGCGTTCACTGACGGCACTCGTCCCACCCAACTGCCTGTGTAGGCCGCACGGGGGATCTTGTGTGTGCGAGACCCAAGCAGGAGATGTGAGGTGAGGGTGAGCTGAGGGTGAGGTGAGATGAGGGTGAGATGAGGGTGAGGTGAGATGAGGGTGAGGTGAGGGTTCAGGGAGAGAAAGTAAGACCAGGTGTGAAGGGTTGGGGAGTAGGAGATATCAGGTGAGCAGAGACACGGTGAGGAGCATTGAGGACATGGGTGCAGGGTGTCGGGGTGCAGGGTGTCGGGTGCAGGGTGTCGGGGTGCAGGGTGTCGGGTGCAGGGTGTCGGGTGTCGGGTGTAGGGGTGCAGGGTGTCGGGTGCAGGGTGTCGGGGTGCAGGGTGTCGGGTGCAGGGTGTCGGGTGCAGGGTGTCGGGGTGCAGGGTGTCGGGTGCAGGGTGTCGGGTGCAGGGTGTCGGGTGCAGGGTGTCGGGTGCAGGGTGTCGGGTGCAGGGTGTCGGGTGCAGGGTGTCGGGTGCAGGGTGTCGGGTGCAGGGTGTCGGGGTGCAGGGTGTCGGGTGCAGGGTGTCGGGGTGCAGGGTGTCGGGTGCAGGGTGTCGGGGTGCAGGGTGTCGGGTGCAGGGTGTCGGGGTGCAGGGTGTCGGGGTGCAGGGTGTCGGGGTGCAGGGTGTCGGGTGTCAGGGTGTGGGGTGCAGGGTGTCGGGTGCAGGGTGTCGGGTGCAGGGTGTCGGGTGCAGGGTGTCGGGTGCAGGGTGTCGGGGTGCAGGGTGTCGGGTGCAGGGTGTCAGGGGTGCAGGGTGTCGGGGTGCAGGGGTGCAGGGTGTCGGGGTGCAGGGTGTCGGGGTGCAGGGTGTCGGGGTGCAGGGTGTCGGGGTGCAGGGTGTCGGGTGCAGGGTGTCGGGGTGCAGGGTGTCGGGGTGCAGGGTGCAGGGTGTCGGGGTGCAGGGTGTCGGGGTGCAGGGTGTCGGGGTGCAGGGTGTCGGGTGCAGGGTGTCGGGGTGCAGGGTGTCGGGGTGCAGGGTGTCGGGTGCAGGGTGTCGGGGTGCAGGGTGTCGGGGTGCAGGGTGTCGGGGTGCAGGGTGTCGGGGTGCAGGGTGTCGGGGTGCAGGGTGTCGGGTGCAGGGTGTCGGGGTGCAGGGTGTCGGGGTGCAGGGTGCAGGGGTGCACCGGATGGGCTGGGTGCGCAGCGCCGTCTTGAGTCCCTCCACCACCTGCGCGCGCTCCGCCTGCTCCTCGGGGCTGTAGCCACTCACCGAGGTCATCTGCAGCACCGGGCCAGACACTCACCACTCAGCTCACTCATCACGTCACTCACCACTCAACTCACCACTCAACTCGCTCATTACGTCACTCGCCAATCATCTCACCACTAAAATCACCACCCAACTCAGCACTCAACTTACCCTGTCACTCACTTACCCTGTCACCACTCAACTCACCATCACCATGTCACTCACCCACGCACCCATTCACTCACCCACTGACCCACCCATGCACCTGCTCGCTCACCCACCCATTCACTCACCCACTGACCCACCCATTCACTCGCTCACCGACCCATTCACTCACCCACTGACCCACCCATTCACTCACCCACTGACCCACCCACTCGCTCACCCACCCATTCACTCACCCACTGACCCACCCATTCACCCCCCCACCGACACACCCGTCACAGGTTGCTGCGTCACCTCGCCGCCACTCACCGAAGACATCTGGTTGATGCTATCGATGTAGTAGTCGGGCCAACTCGTGGCCGAGCGGTTCGGATCCTCCTCCTGAAACAACAGCACCACCACCAGCATCATCATCATCAGCACCAGCAACATCATCAGCACCAGCAACATCGTCAGCATCAAAATTTGTATCATGTGTGTATCTGTGTGTATGTGTGGGGAGCAGCAGCGAAATGGTTATTGCGCTGCGCTACGAACTCGGCGACCAGAGTTCGATTCCCGCTTACGCCTAACACCAGTGACGATTATCCGAGCCGTTTGTGCGTCTCTCCTCTGATGCTGACTACACACCGCCCCAGGTTCTCAAATGGGCGGCGGCCTTCAGAGGGTGCTTTCTCACACGTGGACTTTCTGCGACCAATGTTATCCAGCAACATTTTTTTTGGTTAGATACAAACGTGTCATTACACCCTCCACCCAGCATAGCTAGCCAGGTTTCTCACGTAAACACAAACATGCCAATTAGTCACTCGTTCAGGACACTAGTATGTTGTAGAGTAAACCCACGACATCAGTTTCATTTATTAGCTATAACCCTGTGAGCCATGCGGCTCTTGACTCGGGTGCAACCGCAACAAAAACATGAACAAGAAACATCTTAAAGGTGACTACACGCAACAGGAAATCCAGGAAAAAACAGCAAAGTCTTCCAGAAAAAACAGCGTATTTCAAAACACCGTACAATTCGTGTACGACGTTTCGCCGGTAATTATAAGCAGCCTCAACATAGGCGCTACTCGCTAACAGCCACTTGCCTCTGCAGTCTGTTAAATCTGTGCGTATGTGTGTGTGTGTTTGTGTGTGCGTGTGTGTGTGTTTGTGTGTGCGTGTGTTTGTGTGTGTTTGTGTGTCTGTGTGTTTGTGTGTCTGTGTGTCTTTGTGTGTTTGTGTGTGTGTGTGTTTCTGTGTGTGTGTGTGTGCATGTGTGCGTTTGTGTGCGTGTGTGCGTTTGTGTTTGTGTGTGTTTGTATGTCTGTGTTTGTGTGTGTGTGTTTTGTGTGTGTGTATGTCTGTGTTTGTGTGTGTTTGTGTGTTTGTGTGTATCTGTGTGTGTCTGTGTGTGTGTGTATGTGTATGTTTGTGTGTGTGTATGTTTGTGTGTGTGTGTGTTTGTGTGTGTTTGTGTGTGTGTGTTTGTGTGTGTGTTTGTATATTTGTGTTTGTGTATATGTGTGTTTGTGTATTGTGTGTTTGTGTGTGCGTTTGTGTGTGTATGTGTGTGTTTGTGTGTATGTGTGTGTGTTTGTGTCTGTGTTTGTGTCTGTGTGTGTGTGTTTGTGTATGTGCACCTATCTTTTCATCGGTTGCGTAACGCTGTGTGGAAGCTACCTGGTCTGTCGCTCCGCACGGAAGCTTCAGGTCTTCTCGGCCACGGTCATTCCCTCCCTTCTCTACGCTTGCGAAACGTGGACCCTCCTAATGGAGCATCTTCGTCGGTTGGAAACATTTAGGCTGGCCTGCCTACGATCCATCCTGGGTTTAACCAGGCTGGATTGTGTGAGGAGCTCACAAATCCTTGAAAGATCTGGGCAAAGTCCCATCGGTGAGCTCCTCCGGCAGGCAGGGCTGCGTTGGCTGGGTCATGTAGCCCGCATGCCCAGCTACCGCATGCCTAAACAGCTTTTGTTCGGCCGGATCGAGGGGGCTAAACGGGCGCGGCACGGGCTGGAGAAGAGATGGAGTGATGTGGTACAGGAGGACGTGGAGCTGAGTGGACTTGCCGATGACTGGTACCAGCGGTGTCAAGATCGGCCTCAGTGGAGGAGGCTCGTGAAGGACGCTACTGGGCAGTTGGAGGCAGTCGCCCTCCAACAACAACGGAGGGCGGAGGAGTGACGCTCACAACAACGAGCGGAGCGCCGGGTGGCTAAAGCACAGCAAGTTGGTACAGTAGGGGGCACAGGTGGTGCATCAGCCAGTCATCTCGGTCATCTCGGTCAGTCGACCCGTGGCACCTGCTGGGTCTGCCCCGTGACCTCCTGCCAGCGGCCGTTCGACACTTCACGTGGCCTCAAGGTGCATTTGGCCTGGCACAAGCGTCGTGGTGACGTCACCGCCACTTAGTGGCGAATGGCGGTTGTTGTTGCACCTGTCCAGCTGGTGTGGCTGCTCGTGTGACAATGTGGATTGACCGGACACTAAACTCGTTGTTATTGTTCTGTGATTTACCTCCTTTAACTCGCAGGGTGGCGTCCGGCAACAATGCGCTCATCCTCACAACAACTTCCCACACACGCCTACCACCACATAACTACACCGCGTCACACGTCCCAGACGCCAAAGCGCACGCACGCACACAACGTCACCGTCCTACACCTACCACACCCAACCCGCGCCGGGAGTGGTAGGTGTACCTGCGATTAGCACGGTCGGCAACGTACGGTGCAAAAGAAGTTCACCGTACATACGTACGTGCGTTGTCGTCTCTCCCCCGCTGCGTTCAACAACCACACTGCAGGTCACAACAACAACAACAGATATAAAGACAAAGACGCCCCCGTGTAGCCTTAACAGACTGTTGGGGCAAGTGCTGTTGGCGAGCAACTATGAAGGCTGGCACGGCACATGCGGGGCTGGGTGGTCAACACCACGCCCGGCCGCCTTTGTCTCCCCAGTGGCGATGTTTATACACCGCACCGGGTACTCAATTGAGGCGACCTTGGGGAGGCGCAGGCTGAAAATAATCGTCACTGATGTTGGCCGTGAGCGGGAATCGAACTCGGGTTCGCCAGGTTCGTAGCGTAAACCAATACACTCCCCACAAAACAACAACACTCACACACACCCACTCGCTCAGTCACCTACTCCGTCACTACATTGCAAGGCACCCCACTTCCTCCACTGCTCCACTCTGGAATCCCCTCTCCCATCATCGTCGTCGTCATCTCTTCTTCCCAAGCTCTCACAACAACAGTTAACCTCGCTCAATTCAAGAAACACGTCACACTCTCCGTGTCCATTCCAACGTTGCTAACAGTGCTGATTGTTGCTGGCTGCTCTGATGCGCCGGGGCCGCGATTTAAGCAAAAATGTAATTTGCTAACACATCGCACGTCAGAACCTACCGCATACCACGTCACTGCCCCCCCCCATCCGCATACCACGTCACTGCCCCCCCCATCCGCATACCACGTCACTGCCCCCCCCCCATCCGCATACCACGTCACTGCCCCCCCATCCGCATACCACGTCACTGCCCCCCCCCATCCGCATACCACGTAACTGCCCCCCCCCATCCGCATACCACGTCACTGCCCCCCCCCATCCGCATACCACGTCACTGCCCCCCCCATCCGCATACCACGTCACTGCCCCCCCCATCCGCATACCACGTCACTGCCCCCCCATCTGCATACCACGTCACTGCCCCCCCCCCATCCGCATACCACGTCACTGCCCCCCCCATCCGCATACCACGTCACTGCCCCCCCCATCCGCATACCACGTCACTGCCCCCCCCATCCGCATACCACGTCACTGCCCCCCCCCATCCGCATACCACGTCACTGCCCCCCCCATCAGCATACCACGTCCACTGCCCCCCCCATCCGCATACCACGTCACTGCCCCCCCCATCCGCATACCACGTCACTGCCCCCCCCATCCGCATACCACGTCACTGCCCCCCCCCATCCGCATACCACGTCACTGCCCCCCCCCATCCGCATACCACGTCACTGCCCCCCCCCATCCGCATACCACGTCACTGCCCCCCCCATCCGCATACCACGTCACTGCCCCCCCCATCCGCATGCCACGTCACTGCCCCCCCCATCCGCATACCACGTCACTGCCCCCCCCCATCCGCATACCACGTCACTGCCCCCCCCATCCGCATACCACGTCACTGCCCCCCCCCATCCGCATACCACGTCACTGCCCCCCCCCCATCCGCATACCACGTCACTGCCCCCCCCCATCCGCATACCACGTCACTGCCCCCCCCCATCCGCATACCACGTCACTGCCCCCCCATCTGCATACCACGTCACTGCCCCCCCCCCCATCCGCATACCACGTCACTGCCTCCCCCATCCACATAACACGTCACTGCCCCCCCCCCATCCGCATACCACGTCACTGCCCCCCCCCCACCCGCATACCGCGTCACTGCCCCCCCCCATCCGCATACCACGTCACTGCCCCCCCCATCCGCATACCACGTCACTGCCCCCCCCCATCCGCATACCACGTCACTGCCCCCCCCATCTGCATACCACGTCACTGCCCCCCCCCATCTGCATACCACGTCACTGCCGCCCCCCCATCCGCATACCACGTCACTGCCCCCCCCCATCCGCATACCACGTCACTGCCCCCCCCATCCGCATACCACGTCACTGCCCACCCCATCCGCATACCACGTCACTGCCCCCCCCCATCCGCATACCACGTCACTGCCCCCCCCCATCCGCATACCACGTCACTGCCCCCCCCCATCCGCATACCACGTCACTCTGCCCCCCCCATCCGCATGCCACGTCACTGCCCCCCCCCATCCGCATGCCACGTCACTGCCCCCCCCCCATCCGCATGCCACGTCACTGCCCCCCCCCCATCCGCATGCCACGTCACTGCCCCCCCCATCCGCATACCACGTCACTGCCCCCCCCCCATCCGCATACCACGTCACTCACTGCCCCCCCCATCCGCATACCACGTCACTGCCCCCCCCATCCGCATACCACGTCACTGCCCCCCCCTTCCGCCTACCCCGTCACTGCCCCCCCCATCCGCATACCACGTCACTGCCCCCCCCCATCCGCATACCACGTCACTGCCCCCCCCCATCTGCATACCACGTCACTGCCCCCCCCCATCCGCATACCACGTCACTGCCCCCCCATCCGCATACCACGTCACTGCCCCCCCCATCCGCATACCACGTCACTTGCCCCCCCCATCCGCATACCACGTCACTTGCCCCCCCCATCCGCATACCACGTCACTGCCCCCCCCCATCCGCATACCACGTCACTGCCCCCCCCCCCCCATCCGCATACCACGTCACTGCCCCCCCCCATCCGCATACACGCACTGCC